ACAGGCTAGAGCCACAGCTTATTTTTCTCAAAAAAACATTTTTCTTTAGAAGATAATCCTCCCCCACGTTCTTTTTTTTTAAAGGAGATAAAAAAAACCCAAACCTTCACTCCCTTTCCTTCACTTTCTGCCTTGGATAGCAGCAAGAAATGGCTTAATTCTACTTTTCAGAATTTTGCAAAATTCTGAATTCCATTAAATACATATCAAAGTATTATTTCTGGAATGCAAGTGTATTCTTGATCTTGTGCACCATATAAATGTTTAGTCAATACCAGTTATCAGGGAAATTATCAGTATGTCATTTTATAAAGTGGCCAAAAATAAACATCACTGAATAAGGGCATGAAAAATCCATATATGCTAAGCAGCAGGTGAGAGTTTGTGTCCATTCTTGAAGCCAGCAGATGTTTTACTGCCAAGTCTCCAGCAGACTTTGAAAGGAAACTCATACCCAGTAATTCCAGTGCTATGCTTTAATTTTAAAGTCGAAGCACTCTGTAAATGTTCTACTTTCTTACTTTGCTTTTAGTTTAAAATTAAAATGAATGCTCACATACTTAAACTATATGACTAGCAGGATCCCAGGTGTACACAATTTCGTTGCCCAGCTTAGTCTGAATACCTGCTCCTCCTCTGCGGCACGCTGTGGTTCAGACAGCGGAGCCGGGCCCAGCAGGTGCCACGCGCCTTTCTGGGCATCGATGCTGCAGGAGATGTAGAACAGGGCAATGCATAAAGTGACAGCGGTGGAACACACCAGTCTCACTCACACACTGACATGCTGTACAGTGAGAGAAGCGGTTTGTTTCTCCTCTGTAGGCTGCCACTGCCTGCCAGCTCACTGTGTTACGGACTCTCCGTGACTCAAGGTTTGTATGATGCTATAAAGACCAGAACTACCTCCCGTACAGAACAAAGGGAAAGACAAAGAGGCATACGGTATTGTTTTACAGTAAAATGCAGTGTTTCCTTTGACACTGAAGGAGCCCTGGGGAAAGTTAGGAGGGACAGAGAAAAGAGATGAATTCAGAAGGGAGAAATCAAGCACACAACTTCTCATCCTCTCCCGTGCGTTTCATTTCGTTACCACTTTGGAATGTGATGATTCTGCTGTAAATAGAGGACTTTCTTTCTAGGGACCATGGCAGTCATCAGAGAAGATAAATAGCTCCTTCAACATGAGGAATTAGTTCAGACACAAGCAGCTCATGACCATGATTTAGGTCACCAGTATGCTGCTGGGGATGAATTATTAATCAACTACAATAGGAGCAAGCGAAGATGTAAAAATACCAAGTATAGTAAGCATGAAATGAGGAGAGAGAAAGCAGGGAACTGTATCACCGGAGGGCAACATAAATAGGACATTGTTCAAGTACATTAGAAAAGGAGAACAGAGCAGCCCATATAAGAAAGGCAGGCTGATGACAGAAAGAAGTGGGTAAAAATATTAAAATCAGGCCAAAATTTGCAAGTTCAAAATGTCTTAAGTTGGATACTGACATAACTGGTCTTGTTTTAGAGTAGCTGAGGACCTATAGCTTTAGTCGAAATCAGCGCAAGCTACAGTTTTTCAGCAATTTCAGAAGCCATGAGAGCTCAGGATCCTCACTATATTCTGCTGACTCTGAGCTCAGTGGCCACAGGAATTAAAAGGCATTTCAAGTTAATGAAAATATTTGGCGGAGAGTAGAGGAAATTACTTTCAAGATTCTGTTTGGGAATAAACAGCTTGTGGTTTGTTATTGGATCTGGCAGATGAAAGAAAAATGTGAATAAGGAAGCTGAAAAACTGAGGGTAGCCTAAACTGGAGTTCACAAGATCTTTAGAGAGAGCTACAAGAGGCACTCAAAAGAGGGAACAGGAAAGGAAGATCAGAGGGGGGAACCCACTTTCTAAACCTGTAAAGTTTGCTTCAATGATGCAGTTTATGAGACGTGCATGAAAGGCACACGGCATAGATTCTACTCTACAGCACCTGTTCAGAGCTAAGCAGGGCAAGAAGAAAAATCCACAAGAAAATCCGGACTACAGCCATCAAACTGAAATCAGTAATATTTTAACGAACAGCTGGCAGCTGCTAACATCTATGTGAGTAATCACCATATACACACAGCACAAGCAGCTACATTTAAGTAAAAGGAGAGGAGATTCAGATGGCCATACCTATAGTTCAAAAGCACACTCATTTGTGTTCATGTTTCGCCACTTCCCTCTTTTGGGATGCCATATTAATGATTAAAAGTTATTTAAACAGAGTATGTTGTAGCCAGAACTGCCTGCAAGATACAAAGCCAGGAGAGACCATAGGTAAAAATAATGAAGCTGACTCACCTGTACTAGAAGAGCATGCCTTTTCAACACGTATTTCTGAGACGCCATGTGGATGAAAGTCAAGCCAATACAAAGACTGTACAGGGGTTCATCTGGGTTTGCACGAAAGGCTTGCACATACTGTCCTAAAAGCAAATCATTGAATCAGGATGTTTGTTGTGAAAAGCATTCCTTAAGAATTTAAGGGCAAAAAAGAAAATCTTCAAATTAGAACTATGAACTAAGAAAAGAAACAGTTTAATATACCTACATGAAAATACACAGGAAAAATCATGAAAGAAAACTTTATACACTCAGCACTCCTTGGATTCTGTAGGAAAAATGCAAACTGTGATGTAAAAACATAAGCAGAAAACAGACACAGAAGGCAAACAAGGTCCGTGCTGGGATTTATATCCTGGAGGCCATACATCTTAAGTGTGACATTTGGAGAGTCTGACTGAAAGCAGAAAGGTTTACTTCAAAGGCCTGCTTAAAATGTCCAACCAACCTTATTTGCTGTTTAAATTGGTCTGTCTTTCTTATTCTTTATTATCATTAAGCCTTCAATTATCTTTGCAAGTTTGTTATATTTGCAATGTGTGCTGAACCTGAAACATAGCAGCTTAATTGTTATTAGCAAAACTCTTTAGCAATGCTTTGATTTGTGTACAAAATAATTACAGCGCCCGACTAACACTGTGAAGTCACATATAATTTCCTGATAAATGAAAAAAAAGACTGTAATCAATCTTTCTCTGAAAAAAACCACTCACTTGTTATATTTGTTAATATTAGAACATCAATGACATTACCAAGAGCATGCTTGAAACTGCCAGATACAAACGCATTGTGCCCGTTTAGCACACACAGTGCGTGATTATCAGGGTTTTTCAGCATTAAGCGGAGACAAAAGCGATGGTGACGGACGTCCTGAGATTGCATAGTAACTTGATTGAAGATGTTCCATAGCTGAGGTTTATTGACATTTTCCATTACCATGATTCTACAGAATGAAAAGTACACAAGAGATTAGTAAACACTGTAGTAAACACTGTAGCTGCAATAGAACCTCAGCAGTTTGGGGAAGATAACAAAGAAGAACACACAAGCAGCAGGTCAGTGACTGAGGTAAAGCTGAGAGTGAGAGACAGAACCAACAGTTCCAGCCAAAGCAGTCGACCTACTGCATTATGATTTTTTTGGAACCAGAGGCCATCAGAAAGCTCCTTGAGTTTCAACAGCCTTCTCTGCTTTAGCAAAAGCTGAAAAGCATCAGCCTGCCTCCTTTAGCAATGTTTTCCGCAGTATGAGTACAGCCTCAGCAGAAGCAGTTACAGAAGAGATTGCTCTACCTTCTCTGTACCCCACCTGATATAGTTGTACGCTTTTCTGAAGTTCTTGTCCAGAATTGCAGCAGAGAGCCCAAAGTATTCCAGCTCCTTGCGTTTTTGTCTATCATCATAAAAGGAATAATATTCCAATGAGGAATCCACTAGTAGCTCTGCCTCCTTGTACCGGGAGAGGTCACACAAGGAATATATAGCCTTCAGGAGGAGGTTCCACCAGTCATCTTTTGTCAGAACACTCGTGAGAACAGCAAAAATCGCTAAAAATATTGAAGTCAGTAAGTTGGGAAAATTAAAACAAGAGAGCTAAACTCTTAAAAAAAAAGGTCCATACATCAAACTGATGCTTTCAAAACTATCCCAGCATTAACAGGTAAAACAGATATTTACTTTTTTCAGTTTAAGTGTATTTTGTAAAATATCAGCAAAAAAACAGTCAAAACTTGGGAACAAATGGCAAGAAATACACACAGTTCAAGTTGTAAACGTACTACATGAATGCATCACAGTTACTCTTCCTGTCTCCACCAAATGGTGCTTAAGAAGGTGTAAGGTGCTTAAGACTCTGGCTCAACCGAGTCTGGGCCAGTTAAAAAAAATCACATCACTTTTAAAACTTGTATTTCTATCACGTTCTAGATTTATGTGTATCATATTTGCAATGAGGAGAATGTTGGACCATATGATCTCTAAAGGCCCTTCTCAATCTAAATTATTCTGTGATCTTGCTATTTTTCTCTGAATGAGGATTGTTCCCTTAAGTTATATTATCTTCATTTTTGCTGCCTTCTTTGTCCTAGAAATGAAGCAACGTTAACATGACCGTTATGGATTCAGCATGCAAAACAGTAACGCTTATGTCATTTTCCAGAACTAAGGAGTTAATCTTGTTGCTTTGTTCTTAAGAAACATTTGTTACCTTTCGCATCGCAGTTTGCTGTCTCTTGGTCGTCATTGTCAGAAATTTTATCCCTTGACACCTTAATAAGATAGAGGTGTCTCTCTCCAGATTTGGAACTAGATATCAAACACACCTGAGCTCTGCTCATTGCTACCTAGAAACAAATTTAAGAGCAGCATTTCAGATTACATGAATACATCCTGTGACAAAGGGAGCTTTACGGGCAATCCATCCTGCTCACGTTGCATGCCAGAAGAGCCTGCAACGTAGAAACGCCACAACAGAGCAAGATCATGAGAGTGAGCATTCCTATGAGGAGCACTGTCTCTGCATTGTCTCATGCTCCAGTGCACGCTGGGCTATACAGAAGAAAGACACAAACTCTTCAAATGACTTAAAAGACTTTTCCTGGGATTCGAACACCCCCGTATATATTAAAATCAAAACTTTTTGCATAGAGGCATAACAAGAACAATGCCTTTCTGAATCAGTTTCAGAAATATGTGGATCATCAGCTATTCAATCAGTGTAATACGATAGTAATGGCTCTGGCCAGATGGATAAAATTAAGGTCTAAATATTCCCCTTCCATCACTCCCCATTCGAAAATACACACCAAACAATTAGCACAAACCCACCACCACTGTATTTACTGACTAAATGAATTCTTCTTTGGCCATTTTATCACAAGAAAACATTAAAAAAAACAGTTACGAAATTCAAAAGAAAATTGTTGAAGTAGAAGCCAGTACCACCGTTTCAAGAAAGCACTATGCTGACTGCAAAAAAGGCAAGTAGCAGCTGTAGTACTCAGTGTGTTCTATGTACACTGAGAAACAGGGACTTGCGGTCACTGTGTTAAGAATTACACACACCAGTAGTCCTCTGTTCTGAACACTACAGGCAGGAACACCAGTATTATAGGCTTCCTGAAAGATTATTACCTAACAAAATTATGAAATTGTTTGCATATAAAAAAACACTGGCTTTTCTTCCGAGTTTGTCGCTTGTCTTAACTCATAGCTGTCCAACATCCAAGCGCAGCTGGAGAGATCGGCTTACCTTCAACAGCATGGCCAGCATCGTCAGTAAAGTGTCTATGTAACCGTACATTTTGCCTTGGGAATACAACAGTGTCGAACGATGGAGGAGTAGCTTTAATTCCTAGATAATAGGAACAGTAGGATAATAGGATAATAGCTTTAATTCCTAGATTGAACATTATTATTCAACCACTTGCACAGAGAGAGAGTTTATAAAACAAACAATTTTAACTCACTACAGTACTTACAGGCTTGTAAAAGCTTCTAGAAAGCCGTAGGACTCTTAGCAGCAGCAAGCAAGATCTCCCTAAACAGCCCTGCAGTACTTATGGTTTCAAATTCTCAAATTTCAGAGAAATGCAGTACTTAATAGCGAAGGTGCTGCTGGAGAGGGGATACACAACCTTTGCTACACCATCAGTTACAACCAATAGAGGCCAAAAACATGTAGCTCGTATGTAGCAACCTGATCAACTTGATGCAAAGCGATTGAGGTCAAGACTGGTTCTCAGTGGCCAAGAGCTTGCACATCACACAAAAGGTGGGACACGGGATATACTGATAAAACAGTCAGGGAGAAAGAGCCCTGAGAACTCATCCCTGACACTCTGTAATGAATCATTCGCTGGGCTCTGAAGGCTCACCATGCTGTAGACAAGTAAGTCTCAATCCCTGGTCCTATATTGTTGACGTCTTTGATCACCACCATAATTTATCTGAATAATATATCCTAAACTGGAAGCACAGAACACTTTACCCACCTGCTGCGCAGCATTGGCATCCTGAGCCAGTGTATCCGGATCATACATTGGTTCCAGAGCCTCCAGAGCTTTTTCAGGTCGGCCCAGCTGCTGCTGAAGCGTTGAAAGTGAGATTCTTGCATCCAGATGCAACGGAGCAAGATCAACAACTTTGGCATAGCTCTCTGCGGCACGCTCCATGTGTCCCAAAGCCTTTAAGCACTCTAGAAATACCATGAACAACACAATACACTTACATGGCAGAAAAAGAAGGCTTCAAAGCCTGCAAAATAGTTAACATACTTTTTAGATACTTCTTCAGTTAAAACCACCCAAAACATGTATTATTAAAGCGAAAATAGTCAGAAATAGGTACTGATGCATCTGCAGTTTCACTTAGAGCATCATCAGTTGACACAGGACAGAATGCAGAATAGATGCTGTTTCACTTACGTGAAAACAAAGTATTTTTAGCTGAAGTAAATATCAATCTATATGAAGAACAAGAAAATGCTCCATGACAGGGCTGTCGTAATAATCTCCAATTATAGTTTTGCAAATACTAATCGTTATTCAACACGTGAATCTAATGTCCCTGTGATCTCAGCTGAAGGTCCCTGGAAATGCTCAGCGTTGCATCATCATTCTCAGTACCAAGCGCTCAGCAGCCCTGCTGCTTCTCACCCGCGTGCCGAAGCCAGACAACAGCCAAGTTGTACCGTTCCGAACAGACAAGGGAACTCAAGAGAGGCAGCGCTGAGTTGTATTCTCCAACATCTAGAAATGCCTCTGCGACGTCTAAATACAAGTCACCCATTTCTTCTGGATTTTGTTCCACCAGAGTGGTCAAAAGGGGCTTTAAAAAAAACACACAAAACACTGAAACACAAATAACCAACGAGAACGTTTCTTTAAGGTATGGTTGCTGGAAGCTTACATTTTTATGCTATGATTTTTATTCTATTTGCATTCTGAACTACACTTTCCTTACTTACATGTTAGCTTAAAAGTCAGAAATAAAGATCTGAATTTCAGAATTCCTGAAAAAGCCACATTTTTCTATTCTAGGCATTTCATATCCATGCATGTCACATCCAACGGGTGAAAGCGCCCATCAGTGAGGAGTGCACTTTATGAAAGAACAGTCTTCAGATTTAGCACAAAGCAAAGATGTGTTCCTTAGCGCTCAACAACTTTGCAGTATGGTCCCGGGCCTGTCACAGCACACAGGCTGTGGCTTACTCTGCTTTAGTAATACTTCCCCTGGAGTCATTATTTATAAGGACAAAAATGGTATTCCTGCTATTACCGGTTTGCTAGGTTTCTCTCTTGGAGTGGGAGGGAAACAAAAAGAATCTCCGCAGCTCTCTCAACGACCTCAGTCATACAAAGACAGGAAAAATTACTTGCTTTGGTAATTTATTAGAATATCCCCCAACTTCTGACTCGGTTTCTACTTACATTGAGCGGCTCTAGGATGTTCAAGTGAACCAAGCACACCATCAACTTGACCGTGATGTCTATGGGAACACCCTCAGGTATGCAGCAGCTGACCTTCTCCACAGCTGTGAGAATATAAAGTCATTTCTTTCTGAACCCACAGGCTTTAACAAGCACTTCACAAGCTCCAGGTCCCCTCCAGGCCATGTTCAGCTCCACTGAAGAAAATACATTGCCATCGACTCTAGCAAATGTTGGTGTAGGCCTGGCCTCTCCCCTTTTATATCTTTCCAGGTAGTTGGAATAACTTCTTCCTACTGTCTCTGATATTAATAATTTCATGTGAAATATCAAGTGCTGTTAGCCTGCATCGATTTCAACAGCAGGATCCTGTAGGACGTGTGTAGAGCCTTTGCCCTGTTAAGATGTTCCTTGCTTCGTAAAGCTTTCCTTCAGCAATTTATGCACCTGTACCCTCTTCTCCTTGCTTTTCGAAGGAAAGACCCTGTATTAACGTATTTGTTCTTACTAAGCTAAGTCCTGTGTACCAGGGATCTGGCTGTAACACAGTTAAACACAGTTAACTACAGAACTTTACTCAACAGAACGCAATCTGACGAGAATGCAAACACGAGGCAAAGTTTTTACCCATGACAGTGCTAGCAAAGGTCATGCAGGTTCACATGCAGCCACGACATCTCCTTAACTACCCTCCTTAAATTCTCCTTCACCTCAATTCTTATGCCAGGCATTCAAAGGGTGATTGCTACAACGTGAAAAAAACGTGGTTTCCAACATAAGGCTTCTCTATTACCTTCCACGTCCAATTACTGCAAATCACAACGTGCGGATTAATTCCCCATTCTCTGAACACCTTAGAACCCAGCATGAGAGTAACTATTCACCGACTAATAAATTCTTACAAAATGAAAAACTTTCTTTTCAAAGCCAGTGAGCCTTAGGGGAACACTTTTGGCTTTGGTGGCTGGCTGGGTTAGAAGTAAGTTCTGAGTAATGAAGACAGTGCACAAGAAACGTTTTCTGGACGAAGCCCTGTTTCTCTGCTGTTAGAAACCCTTCTCAATTTTCATATGATTGCAACCAGGTTCCTGAGCATATGATCAGTTCATAGACTTGTATGAAATTTAAAAAATAAATCGCTTACCTGCAGCACTGGATTCAGCAACCGGATGACTTTGGCTGTCAGTCACTGCCTCCTGGCTTTCCTGAGTTTCTACCACTGCCTCTGTATCTTTTAAAAAAGATAAGCAGATTACACTAGCAGCACCAGCTAAGCCAAAAGTTACTTGCTTTTTAATCCATAATCGACTGGTAGCTTACTCTGAAAAGTGGACTTTTTTTAAAAATTATTTTAAGGACGGCAGAGCAGGAAGCAGTCAAAAGAGTTATAAAGCAACAGAGGGTGGGGAACCAAGCTCTTGGGTAGTTTAGAAACTTTGTCCTAAGAAATTGCACTCCCCAGGTAACTGACAACACTGTGTTATAACTCCTAGACTCAGAGTTTTGTTTCTTATAAATTATCTATTAAAAGTCTCTATCAGGACAGTTGTTGATTGATCAACTATATTTTTACCTGGTTCATTACAGAAAAAAGCCAGCAGAAGTATCTTATACCTACTCTGAGTTTGGATGGGATTGCTGAAACGATCAACCAGTTTAATCATAGAATGAACTGCCTGTTTACGGAGTGGGCATGCCGCGACCATTCTACAGCCCAAACAAACATTTTCAGACTTCAGCAATGACTTTCACAAAGCAGGTTCTCAAAGATAACTTACAAGCTAATATCCCTAGATTTATACATACCAAAACATTTAAATGTTTAATAGCAGAAGCAGAGTTTATCAAGAACCTTGTTCCCAGGTCAAAGGTTGATATTCTTGAGTACAGATTCCACTAAGCTTATCTATTTTTTTTTCAGAAGCTATTTAGCTGGCAGAAATAACTGGTCTGATGTGAACACTCAGAGGAATGTTTAGAACTTTAAAAGGCCTCCAGTTGCCTGGAGAGCAGTCCTTGTCCTTAATGAGTCAGCAGGGCTAATTGGACATCAGGGTAACTCCTTATAGAAAGCTGAGGTCATGCCATGTAACTCGTTAAAAACACTGAAAAGTTTCAAAAGAGAAAAGCCTGTCAACATGCATCAAAATATACCTATGAGTTGAAAAGGTACCAGACAGGAAGATGTCACATTAGATGAACACTGGGGTCACGCTAACCGCTTGTTAGCTACTTACCTTTTTTCTCCTCGGTTGGACTTTTTTCTGGTACTTTCTTTTCAAGTACAATTCCCGCAAAATCTGTAATAACCTAAAAGAAACGAGTAACTCAGATCATTTTAAAGATTTAAAGGATATATGGAGTAACCAGCCCACATGGCAGCTGTTTTCGACATCACAAAAGTTATCAGAAGAAAAGCTGCATTCATTTCACATGGGGTTAGCTGACCAGTATTGAGTTTGATCACCTTATGTCTTTGGCCACTATTTTGGGACTACTTAGGTGATCCAATCAGGATCTCTTTAGCAAATACAACAATTGCTTTCATCACAATTAGAAGAGTTTTTAATCTTTATAGCTTCTTTTAATGCCTTTTGGAAGACTGAAACAGAAAGCAAGGCACCAGGTAAACAGCTAAGCTCTCCATAGATCTTTCCAAAGTGCTCCAAGGATTCCTCAGCCTAGTACATTGCAAGGAAACCATATGGTTTGTCTCAATTAAAAGAAATAGTATAATTCAATAGAAAAACTAACTAAAAAAAAATAGAAACCAAAGACAGACAATTCAAGACATTCACTTCCCAACGACCAGCTGTAAGGGGGGAAATGCACAAGCGTAAAGGATCCTTGGTATAGGACCCAATGCAGTTTGGTACTATGTTCATGAATTAAAAGTAAATATTTAAGTCGTTACTGTTGCCAAAACAAGAGTGATAAATAGAGAGTACATTGCCCTTAGAGAAACATACCAGAAGCTTGTATTAAGATAGTTATTTTTTAAAGGCTCAGTTTACCAGCTCAGATACAGTCTCAGATATTCAGGAACAAGAAACACCACCACCAGAATAGACTCAAGGAGAATCATCAAGAAAAAACAAGGAACAGCTCTACGACCGAGTACTGTATTAATAAATCTGGCAGCTAAATAGTGTGTACATAAAAGTGTCTGGTTTATTTTTAAAATGAGAAGAAGTACAGAGAAGGGTCAGAGGAACTGTCTGCAGGCTCACGATGCTTTGCACTGTCAGAGAGCGAGCTAAATAAAACCTTAAGGAGGAAAAAAAGAAGGTAATTTAATATCAGCAAATAAGAACGTTCACAAGGAGAAAATCTCAACTAATAGCATCTCTTCAATCTATCTTGGAAAGTATAACAATGGCCAGATACTAAAGTCTTTCCTCTCAAAGCCAGACCAAATCAACTCGGAAACATGCCTCAAAAGTGAGGGTTAAAAACCACTAGAATAAATTTGGAACAAATAAGCAATCTTCTCCAATTCCCGATGCCTTCGAGTCAAGATGTATTGTTTTTCTGGAACTTATGCTTGATGCTTAATGCATAAAATATTAGTCATAATACAAGTATGCCAGATAAAGCACGACGGTCTGCATTTGAACCATTAGTCCATTCCGTGTCACCCTTTAACCTTCAACTTAGAGAATGCCCTTTGCTGGTAGTACTTAAAAAAACAGCCTGTAGGTCTTCTCTGGCTACTGAGATTATGGCAAGTGTAGAGAAGGAGAGGAAGAATCCCAAAGTTTTAAACCTGGAAAAGCATACAAGTCTATCAGCCCCCAACTTCTTAAATTAAGCCGTTAACTTCAATGCTAATTGCTACAGAACTAAGAGCAAGCAATCAGTATCTGATCAGGTCTATCACCATAGAACCACGGCCATATTTAAGCACTACAGGAATATAAACGGTCCATCCTGACTGGCAAAGAGGTGCTCAACACGATACAGAAATGCATTTAATCTTCCATACCGCCAATGCTTTGTCATACTGCTTGGAAGAAATATATAGCTCGGCTGCAATGTTAACATCTTCCATGGAGACAAGGCTCTGGTGTTTATTAAAGGCTTCTTCTATTATCTCAATCGCAGAGGTCACATCATTGGCTTCATAATAACTCCTACAAAACACAGATATGAGATATTAAGTATTTGAGATAACTGACCATACTCTGAACACTAGCAAAGGATTTCCATATTTCTTTTATTTTTGCCTATTAGCAAGTGTTTTCATCAGCAAGAGTAAGTTACAAAAGAGAGTAAGCAAGTGGGTGTTTTTTCTTTCCTTACAACTGTTGACAATTTTTATATATTTCAAATAATTATCATTTTTTTCTCCCCTGTGTGTTAGGACATTACTGGAGTTTTCATCACAATATCCCCAATCTCAAGCCAGGTATCAACAAGGTATCACATTAACCTGGTTTCAGAAAATCTTCAATAATATTGTTGCAATACACGGCCTTGCGTTTTTTTTGGGTGTATTTCACAACCACAAGGATCAAAAGACTTAAACCATTTTGAAACAGACCAGTAAAAGCTTTCTACGGGTTATGCATGAGAAAACTGAGATATAAAGCAGTTAACTGACTAAAAACTACGGTAAGTGAGGTGCACGCTTTAACCACAAGCCTCCTCTGTCTCAGGCAAGCTTCTAGGACTTGACCTGCTCTCGTTACTAGGAAAGGGGAGGAGGCAGATTTCTACTTGCTCCAGAAAGGAATCACAAATAACATATAAGCTATACTCTGTTGCAGATGGTTTATATTTCAGATTGAATACTTTGTTTCATTCAGATTTGCTGGCAAGAAGTTTCCAGGTCTCTAGTGAGATTACATAGATTAGAAATGTATTGCATTTGTACATAATCATATACTATTGGCATTTTTCCAGTAATCAGTATTTGCATTTTATTCTCTTAGAGTAAGAGAATGCAACACTTCTAAGCTGATGCACTGATCCTACACAAGATAATTCCCACACGTCAGGCTTTGGAAACATCACAATAGTTGGGGGGTGCATGCTTGCGTGGGGGTCACCCCCAGCAAAAACACCTGCGTTCCCTGATTTCAGCTACATACCCAGCTTGAATCAGCTGCAGAGCTCATTAATACCATCTTTTGAAAACTCTAGAAAACCAAGTCACAATATCTTCAAACCCAACTTACTTCGCCATGTCTCTAGCCAGCTGCATAAAGCGCTCTCCGTCAGAGGGAGACAGGAGATTCAGAATCCGCCTGTAGCCATCCATAGCCAGCTTATGTTCCCCCAACTGCTCGTACAGGCTGGATCTCTCCCACAGGTAACGCACATTGGTTGGGTCGTATTTCAGAGCTACAAGAAAAAGCAGATAAGTTCAGAAGAAGGCAACAATGGATTTCACATTCCTTTTCCTGACTAGATGAACATTAACAGACACGCCCCGGGTTTTTGTAAGAAAAGGATATCTGATATTAAAGACTCATTAATGTTTTACCAAAGTCCAGACAGAGGTATCAGAATCTCAGCAAACTGCTGCAAACTAAATTAGAAAGCAGAGGAAAACAAAACGATTGCCATTTGCACCTCACATTCATTTTAAGCTATTAAAATGGTTGCTACGCTACCTTTTGTGTAGCAAAAAACAGCCTGTTTAATATTGTCCTGTTCCAGTGACATTTCTGCTAGTCTAACCCATTCCTCAGTATCACTAGGATTTAAGTGAGCTGCAATCAGTTCAAATTGTAATGACTTCTCCATATCACCCTGGTCTTCATAGATCATGGCAAGAGTGGAAAATGGTTCATGAGCAAGAGGAGCTGTGAAAAGACAAAAAGAATGATTAAGAATCATTGTCTTAAAACCACCCTGAAAACAAGTAACGTGCCTTTCTGCAAACAACAGATAGCAGAATTATACAAAACATCGACCTTGCTCTGTTTAAATTCAGACAAAACTTGCAGAAAAGCTTTCAATTCCCTTTCATACATCATTAAACAGCCTGACTGAATCTAACAACAACCATTATTCCACACTGTAAGTCATGCTGATGTTTATATCTTGGTTCTACAAAGCCAATAAAAGCACTGTGTAAAGCTAAGCAAAGGCC